GGTCGACGCGCGCAGCGACGCGATCCTGCGCGCCGCCGAGGCCCTGCCCCTGCTCGACCGTCGCCTGCCGAACTGAGCGGCGGGCGCGGCCGGCGTCCCGCCGCCGCCGCGAGGCCCCGCGCTCAATAGCCCCGGCCGAGGTCGACCAGGCCGGGCGGGGTGCCGCCGGCCTCCAGCGTGGCGATGGCCTTGGCCACGGCGACGGCGGCCGTCTCGGGAATGGTCATCGAGGCGATGTGCGGGGTGACCACCACGCGCGGATGGCTCCAGAAGGGCGAGTCCGCCGGCAGCGGCTCGCTGCGGAAGACGTCGAGCGTGGCGGAGTCGAGCCGGCCGGACTCGAGCGCCGCCAGCAGGTCGGCCTCGACCAGATGCTCGCCGCGGCCGACGTTGATCACCGAGGCACCCTCGGGAAGCTGGGCAAAAAGCTCGGCGTTGAGCAGCGACTCGGTCGCCTCGGTCAGCGGCAGCAGGCAGATCAGGATGTCGGTGCGCGCCAGGAAGGCCGACAGCTCCGCGGCCCCGGCGAAGCAGCGCACCCCCTCCAGCGCGCGGCGCGTACGCGACCAGCCGGCCACGTCGAAGCGCAGGTGGGCCAGGTGCGTGGCGGCGTCGGCGCCCAGCTCGCCCAGGCCCATGACGCCGACCCGGCGCTGCCAGGGCGCGACCGGCGGCTTCTCTTCCCACAGCTTGCGCGCCTGCTGGTCGCGGTAGTCCAGCATGCGGCGGTGATGGAACAGGGTCTGCATCACCACGAACTCGGTCATGCCGGCGGTCAACCCCGGCTCGACCATGCGCACCAGCGGCAGGTGGCGCGGCAGATCGGGATCGCGGGTCAGGTGGTCGATGCCGGCGCCGATCGAGAGGACCGCCTTGAGGTTGGGCAGGCTGGCGAGAAACCCGGCCGGCGGCTTCCAGGCCAGCACGTAGTCGATCTCGGCCGGGTCGCCGAGGTCGGGCCAGACGCGGATGTCATGGTCGGGAAGGGCCTTGCGCAGTGCGGGGACCCAGGTGGCCGGGCGGTCGAGATCCGATTGGAAAAGCAGAGCCATAGCTCCGCTTCTACATGCTCACCACGCCGCTTTCCACTGCTTCGAGCTCGAAGGCCGCCTTCATCAGCGCCCGGGTGTAGGCCGCGCGCGGCCGGTCGAAGATCTGCGCCGCGGGGCCCTGCTCGACCACCAGCCCGTCCTTGACCACCAGCACCTCGTCGGCCAGGGCGCGCACCACCTTCAGGTCGTGGCTGATGAAGAG